ACCTCTGGTAAATGTGAAAATTATCAAAAAAAAATCAAAACATTTTCTTCTAAAAAACAGGCAGTTTTCATGATTCCTTCATTTATATTTTTCAAATACCAAGACAGACATTCCATTTCCATATTTTTATTTTTCCTTTTAAACCCACTTCAGGGTTTGTCTGCCCTTTCTTTCATTTTCGCCCAACGCATAACTCACATTTTCCATGACTTTTGCCGACAGAAACAAACGATTCTTTGACTTGTTTTCAATGTTTCCTTTTTTTCAAAAGTCACAGCAGTAGCAGCCCTGGAATGATATATGGCAGCAGCAATATCGCTTGCAACACAACAAACAACAACAACAACCACATATAATTGCAACAGGGAAAAAGTAGAAAGAGCAACATCAGCAGAAACTCTAGATATTAGAGAAGTGGCCAGTAAAAGTATGCGAAACAACGGCAACGACGAGGAGCAGTAAACAACGACCGCCAGCAACATCGAAAACAGTTGCAACTTCAACTCTAGCAACAGCAGCAGCTGCAGCAACAACAACAACAACAACCACATCTTTGTGGCAAATGAGTCACCACTTGTGCTGCTGCTGTCCAGTTTATGGCCAGGCGCCTCCTCGAGGACATTCTGTCACAAGCAGAAGCCTCTCCTGGTGATCCCTTTTTTGGGAAAGGCCACGCCCACAACGCATGCGCAACAAGCTAATCATGACGCCGTTTTTCACGACACACACACAGACACCCATCGGATGCAGGCCGGCCAGTAACCTCCAGGATTCACGCTTCCTGATTCTCGATACTGGGAATCCCCTTGCCACCAACGCGTTGCGCCTGCCTGATTTTCAATTTCAATTTGGACGATAAATGGGCACGGCTGGCTGGCAGAGTCCTCCCATTCCACTGCTCCCTACTAGAACCCCACCCCCTCTACGCCCACCCTAGCTGGACGAAAAACCCTATCCCCCAGCTCGTTTATCATGGACGCATATTGCTGACCGCAGCATGCAGCTAAATTTATGCTTAGACTGCCCACCCGCTGTCCACCCACACTTGCATCGCCCATCGCCCACTCATGTAATACCCCCTCTCCCCTCCCTACCCCCTACCCACTACCTCTGGCAACTGCCAACCACCCAGCCATTCATCCACCGATACCCTTCGCTGTGTTAAAATTTGATTTCTTTCTGGTGGAATTTTGATATCTGGGAGAGATGATGGACTGGAAGAATGTTAAGGTATTCCCATTAACTAATCTATAGAAAAGTTAATTTAAAAAGATTTTCCTTTAGTTTTCCAAGAAGAAACTGCAACTGTAATCTACGAAAAAAATACCCCAAAATAAGCTTTGAAATCAAATTCACTGCCACCGCAAATGCCACTTTTCTCAAGCTCTCGAAAATGTATCTCAAGTTCCTTCCTTTGTATCTGATGGTTGCAAAAATTTAATGCCCAATGTCCTTCTGGCAGATACTTCGTCTCCTTCGGATACTTTAGGGTATTACAGCTTCTTTATGGCCAACTTGGCATTCCTCTCTCCCGCTCTTTTCCAAATTCTTTCACATTTTTTTTTTAAGTTTCTTGTCCCAACGACCGACCCTTCGTCCCGCCTAGCATGTCATGTCAGCGTTGTCATTGTTGTCAGTGTCATCACAGCAGCAGCTGAAGCTCTGGTTGAAGCAACACCCTCCTCTGCAGGACCTCCTCCTCTCATCCTGATCCTGCTCCTGCTGTTCCTCCTCCTCCCCTTGGCGGTGGTGGCTTTGCGGTCGCCGTTTGCCATTCGCTATTCGGCCATCGTCGTCGTCATCGTCGTTCTGCTTGTCATTAGACTTATGTCATTGTTCAGCCAAGTGCGCCGGCGACGACGACGACGACAGCAGCAGCAGCAACAGCAGCTATGTTGCTGCAACTGTATTGTCCTGTATTTACTACAATAACACATGAAAAAAAAACTGCCTAGGCATCCTTAAAAATTCTTTTAAAACCCAAAACATGGCCAAAAAACTTTGATAAATACTTCATAGATGATTTCACTTTTGCGATTTAACTTGGAATACTTCTTTTAAGGTAAAACTATCTTCTAAAGCTAGTAAGCTTCTCTATATTTTCATCAACTTTCCTAAGGTTTTTCAAATTTCTAAAACATTTCTAATCATAATTTATCTCAAATTATCAAAAACTATCTAGATTAAGTAAATCTATCTAAAAGTTCAAAAAACATAACAAAAATGAATAACCAATCAACCTGAAAAATCCCAAATAATTTCCTCGAGTGCACCTCTAGCCTGCCCTGCAACATATGCAGCTGTTCCACGCCCACTACTGCCTTGCACACAGGGGCAATGGGCGATTGGGCGGGGTTGGGCGGTTGGGCGTATGGCAATGGATGTGTGTATGTGTCGCTTTGCGTTCGCATTTTACGTGCGCGCATCTAAACTGACATTCCAATTATTCTTATCGCATCAGAGAGGAACATGGCCCACGACGAAACCCTCCTGGCCAGGCATCTAACCCAGAACTGAGAACTGAGAACTGAGGAGACCCCAGAAACCCTTCAAATCCTCACCCCCTACCAAAAGCCCCGTTATAAATGGCCCAGCGTCTTTCAGTCAGTTCCAGTAACTCAGTCAGTCATTCGGTGAGTCAGTAAGTCATTCATTCATTCATTCATTCAGTCAGTCAGTCATTCATTCAGTCATTCATTCAAGTCGTAGAAGTCAACCATTTCTCGTGGAGTTCATTTCGCGGCATTTTGATGGCATTTTTCATATTTTTCCCCCTCCTCCCCCCTGTATAATGGCCACCCCGCTCTGGAAACTATTTAACTTGCGGTTGTGCTTGTTGGCCAGTGTGGTGAGTTGAGATTGTAATGCTGATAGGGTTGTGGTGGAGATGGGAGATGGGAGGTGGGAGGTGGGAGGTGGCTTTGCCCTGATTTATGTCACTCGAGTCGAGACGAGTCTCTTCCAGATTCCGAAAAGGGTTATGATGAGCAGCGGCCTAGTTGGTCGAGGAGGGGAAAGGGGAAAGATATTCGGACTTCTTCTTATAGCTCTTGAAAAGACGTTACTCACGACTCTGGCTATTTGTGAGGAATCTAAGTTGAAAGCTATTTTGTTAAGGCTTAAAACTGCATTAGGGCCATCACTAGGTTTGGGGGTAGAAGGGGATATGTCATGTCAGTTTGAGAAAGGTTAGAAAGGTAGAAAGAGTACCTTAGACTGGAGGTAGTTAGTATACTAACTTCTAGATGCAACTCCCTTAATATTTCTTTTTCAAAACAATGACTGAAAATCAAAACAAGCATTCACAGTGACTAGAATTTACTCCACCAACAAAAGTTCCCTAAAGAAAAGCCCATAAAAAACCAAGAAAATACTCATAAAACCCAACTTCAAGTGGGTCAAATTCCAGCCTGAACTCTCTTCATTATTATTTCATTAAGCCATAAACTGATGACCCCATCAACCTGTTGCATAATATCAACTAATAATTATCAAATACACGCAACATTCTTTCATCGCAGCCATCATCGGGGTCAGAGCACCAGCTGCCAGCTGCCAGCCAAGCGATGACCCATTTAATCGTTAGCCATGGGAGGGTGGTAGACCCCCATCCCTCGCCCAACTTTAATTGCTATTCAATTTAGTAGAGGCATGCAACCTGGAGAGCCGACTCCAGTCGAGTCGAGTCAAATCAATTGCATTAGGCAAAAGTTTGTCAATAAAATTATTGATTACTTTCCATTTAGCGCTTGTCATTAGGCAGCCTGTCCTTTGATCTTTTCCAGGAGGGGGAAAAGGAAAGACTAGATTGGGACTAGGGGGTGAGCAGGGTGAAAGCCAAGCCAAACACGAAAGGAACAAAGGCACGAACTTCTGGAGAAGTAAACCAAACCCACGGCTGGCTAAGCTCTCAGCTTTAATCAGACCAATCCTTGGGTTGACATTTTATTGATTGCCATCCGTCGTCGTTGGTTGGAACATTAATTTCCCCAAAAAAAGAAGAGGAGAAGGTGACATCTAGAAAGGCTAGCTTTTTGGTGGTTTAAAACAAAGTAAAAAATATAAACTAAAATAATTGATTTGTTTTAAGGCATCAAATGAGGTTCCCCATCACTCTCATTTGGCTGCACAAAACTCATTTAGTTTGTGTTTACCAAGGAGGAAGGATAACTCTGCCTGGCTCGCTGCACTCTCAATTGATTCATATCTATATCTTTATCTATATCTTTATCTTTATCTATATCTACTTTATCTACCTCTTGGATACTTCTCTTCCCATTGCAATCGAACTACTCATATTTTAACGAGCATTGTGTTTTGCTCGCTTCTCCTGGATACACCTGACAGTCGTCCTGGATCCTCTCCTCTCCCATCTCCCATCCTGCAACACCAAAGTCATCCCATCCACCCTCTAAGCTCAATGCTTTTCTGCTCAATTTGCAATTTGCAATGCCCTGAAATGCTGCCCCTTATTTCGTTTTTTATTTCCATTTCCCTTTCCCTGTTTTCCCACATCCAATATTCTATAACCTCCTGCCACGCCCACAATAATCAAAGCACGCTTACGGCTTGTTATTTTAAATTTGAGTTTATAAAATAGATGGCAGAGTTGATGATTTAAAACAATTTCAGGACGGGATGCTGTCCCAGCTGCTCCTCCTCCTCCTCCTCCTCTTCCTCCTGCTGCTGCTGCTGATGAAGCTGCTGCAGTCGTCGCGGATGCCCGAGCCAAACGAAATTGTTTTTACGTGCCGCGCATGCAAAAGAGGTTACAACCCCCCCACCCACTCCCTACCTCTGATTCAGTGGGCGTTCGTGGAAAGAAGAAGATGCAGAAGAGGAGACGTATACCTTCTGCCTGGCTGCGACTCAAAAACGCGATCCTAAAAATCATTTCCCCCTTGAGAACTAATGTCCCTTTTAGAGGGAAATTTCTTAGAAATTCTCTGAACGCCTTGCCCAAGAGCCGCCTTTGCGCCCTGAACATAGTTTAAACTCACCTGCCAGCAGACACATCATGCCCAGTAAGATTAGGCAATGTGTCGACATCTTGGTTTCGGTCACCAAATTTCAAGATATTTTCAGATCCTCAGCACTCTGCACGGCGGCCAAAGTTGGTGTTGTCAGGAACTTGAATTAAATTGCGATGGCTGGAAAGGGAAAAGGAGAACATTAGTTAGTTTAAGTTTAATAATGAAAATGTTAGCTAAAGTTAATAAAAGTTACTTAAAGAAAGCTCTTTTTTTTTGTTCAAATAATATTGACATTTTTTGAAGAAATTTCCCTCCGAGCAGAAACTTCTTCTTAAACTTAATCTTAGACATTAAAATGAACATTTTTTAACACATTTCTTCTAGTTAAAACTAACACCTCCTCTTCTCGCCTAGTTAATAACAACCAAAAACAGCCTTTAAAACCCACCCACCCCAAAACTAAACCCTAAATGACAGCCTTTTCTTCTTCGCCGAATTAGCCCTGCAGCAGCAAAGTGCAATTAAAAGCAAATCATGGCCCAAACAAATGGCCAAAAAGTTCATAACCAGTCGAAACAACAAACAAACAAACAGGGAAACAACGAAACAGGGAAAACAGGGAAACAAAACTGACAAATGGACGAACAAGCAAACAAACAAAACCCGGAAAACCGCAAAACAAAAGTGTTCTTGTTGTTGTTATTGTTATTGTTGTTATTGTTGTTGTTGTTGTTGCCCCGGAAAACTGCAAAACCGAAGCGCAACATAAAAATCCACTAAGGCAAATTGGTTTTGTTAACCAGCACAATGGACACATTAACATTGCCCAGGACACACGGCAGCGCAGATATCCTGCTCCTGCTCCGGCTCCGGCTCTGTCTCTGGCTCCATGCTTCAGGCTCCCGGCCATATGAATGTGAATCTATATGTGTATATGTATATGTGTGGGGTATATGCAAAGGATGATGTCGACAGCAACAACAACAACAACAACGGACGACAATTAAAATTTTTGCAATTCTGTCGCAGCAGCAGCTCGCTGAATATTTTTTAGCCACTTCACATGGCAGAGATAGCAGATAGCAGATAGCAGATAGGAGGGCAGCGCAATGCGCGAAATTGTTTTTATTAAAATGTAGAGGAGAAATGCAGAAATGCAGGCAGAGAAAGCAGTAGCTAAAAACTAATCTAAACTAAAGAGCTATCCCAGAGAAATATTGCTGTTAGTTTAAGGAATTCATCAAGATAAATATCAATCAAGTGAAGTTCTAGTGATATTTTATCAAACGGCAAAGGTAAACTCAAGCCAAGAAAAAGCTGCTCTGGAAACATTTTGCTTGGTTAATTAAGGAATTTGTTTAGCTAAATTTAAAACTTATTCTGCTAATTGCTGAAAATGTATCGCTTTATGTTGTCAAACAGGGAAAAGTGTACTGAAGTAGCTTATCAGAAAAGGGGAGAGTTTTAAGAAAATTAAGAAGGTTAACTTAAGAAACTTAGTTGGGAAAATTTAAAGTTGATTTTCATTTTTGAAAGCTAAAAGCTAAAATGTTATAGTAAAAGCATGTTATCCAAAAATATTTGCTCAAAAACTTTCGAAGAACTTTAAATTCTTCTAAAAATATGGCCGTTCATTTAAGTTTTAGTTTAGTTTAGAAAATAATTCTCATTTTAATATCTCAAATAAGTTAAAATTTTACAGTAACTTAAAAGGCTGTTAATCTAGAAATATTGGCTGAATTTTACAAAACGGGTTAAGGAGTTTGCCTAACATATTATATAAAGTGGTTAATTTTACAAATTTTTAAAGCTTAATATAAGTTTAAAATTTTGATAATTTCCAACCTTTTATTTGCTAATTATTTCTATTAAAATATATTTTATATACTCTTACAGATTTAAGCACTTATTTATTAAGCAGGAAAACGTTGATCAAATTTTTAGCTTTTAAAAGAAATTTTTAACTAAATAAAAATCCATTTAAATCGAATTAAAAGTAAATAAATTGCGAAAGGATTCAATATATATTTTTGATATATTTTTATAAATATTTTTATAAAGATTTTTATAAATATTTTTATAAAGATTTTTATAAATATTTTTATACATTTTTTAATTTTACTTTTTATATTCACACAAAAAGGGCAGATGATTTATGTTTATATTTAGCAAGATTCTAAGCTTAATAAATATAAACAAAAATTATTTATAAAAATATCGAATAAAAGACACATAAATTATTTAAAATAAGTTTAAAAATATGAAAAATAACATAACTTTAATCAAAATTTCTCAACTGACAACTTCAAATCAATATTAATACGAAATTGATCCTCATTTTAGTATTAAATTCCTTAAGAAAATCATATCAAATATTTCCAAATATTCAACCAAAACTACGCTGCACTTTTCACAGTGTAACAAAGACAAGCGGCAAGCGGCAAGCGGCGAGGAGGGAATTTTGGTGCTTTCGTTAACAGAAAATTATGGACTCCATCTTGCTCGGGGAGCATTGGCACATTTTAGAAAGTTTTTTGCTCATTACACGGCTTGATTTCATTTAGCTGGCACTGGAACTGGCACTGGCACTGGCACGAGGTTGAAAAAGTGAGCAAGGGGGGGGGAAGCCCCGTAAATTAGATGAGATAATAAGCCAGGGCCGGGGCCGGGGCCAGGGCAGACCAGTAGTGAAGCCACTGTGCAGTTTTTGGCTCAAAGGCTGCTGCTGCTGATGCTACTACTGCAGGTCCTGGCCCTGCTCCTAACTCTGGCTATGGCCTGCATCGTTGGTCATCTTAATTAGGCGCAAAAAAGCAAACTGCAAAATGTAAATGAAAGGGGCACCACCACCCAGTCACCCAGCTGCACTCGAGAGAGAGGTGAAGAGGTGACGCGAGAACGCAAAGGCCAAATACAGTCAAGGACCAAACATCCAGGAGAAAAACATGGCAGCAGCAAGCTGTCAAAGGCAAACATTTCGGGTCAAATCAAATCCTAATAAAACGACTAGAGCTGGGAATCCTTTTGCAGTGCCAACAATTACCAAGGGGCACCACCACCATGACTCCCGCCACCGAGAGAAGAACCATCTGTCCCAATCGAAATTCGAAAGGAATTTGCCCCAGCCTAGGGCTTTGCAACAATTTGTAGAGTTTGGTACTCCCTTCCTTGATCGTTTGAAAGTTTCCCATCTGAAGTTTCAGTCTTAGCAATATTAATGATTGTTAACCATTGAAATCGAGTTGTGTACGCTTTTTAGAGGTGACATTTCTTAATTTGTTGGGCAAATTGTATTTCCGAATAGCTTTTATTTGTAAATTTTACTTTTTCAGGCTTTAAAATTCTGATTTTACTTTAAGATTCTATCACTACCATCATAATTAGTTAAAAAAAAATACTGCACCCAGTCCAAAATCACCATAAAAAGTCATTAATTTCTTTTATTTTCATCACCAATTCCCCCAAAACTAAAGTTTTACCAATAAAAATCCCTAGCCAACGCCTTTTGGGTATGCAACACTTTCCTGTAAAATGACATTGACTAGCGCAAATTTTCGCACTTTCGCAGAACTCAACACTACTGCTGCTCCTGTTGGATATTTTCATTCCCTTTTGGACACTTCAAACTAAGCTTTATTTATGGACCAGCCAAGTGCAGGGAACCCCTTGTCAGAGTTATGTTAATACCTTTTCCCATGCTAAAGCTCAAAAAAGAAGAGGAAAAGGTTTCGGGACGGGCAAGGACGAGAGGATTGCTTTCCATTTAATCAAAGCTAATTGAGAGCGTTTGGCAATTGGCGTTAACTTTACCGCTTTGACAGGCGAATAGAAATCAAGGGGGGTGCGAAACAGTAGGGAATAGGAATCTATATATATAGCCAAGCCAAGCCAAGCCAAGCCATCATCCCCCCAACTGACCACAAAATTTTTCACGCGAATCGACACCCCTCCCTCGGTCTAACCTTTTGCAAATTCCATCCTCACCGGGGTGAAACTTTTCAACGTTTCCAAACCGTTGCCTTTCCGTTTTTTACGTTTTTTTTTGGAAGGGGGGTTGGGGGGTGGCAAGAACATTGAAATTAGATTAAAATGTTGAGGCAAATACAAAATGGCTGCCACTTGCGAGGTGTGGGACGGGACTCGATTCGAATTTCATTAAAACAATATCAAGCGGGTCAGTGCTTTGCCTTCCTCTCCTTCTACGTTTTTTTGTATTTATTTTTACTTTTTAGAAATCAAAATAAAAGTTTTGGCCACGAATTTGAAAGTTCGATTAGGGGTTAGGGTTAGCCATTCGTGGAATTGGCCAGAAACATATTTTGAGGGATTACCACAAGGGTAGAGCGTAGAGCGTAGGGCGATGGCATTTCACGCGGCGCACGCCAAAAATATTGGACTTTGTTTTTGGGAAAAGTCATTGGTAAAAATAAGGGCCTAGGTTTTAGATATTTTAAGTTGGAAAAACTGTTCTTTAAGCATTTAAAATTAATCATTACTAAAGATTTTGGTTATAAATTCAAAAAATCAACTTAAATTTTAAGAAATTCTTTTAAGATTTCTGGCTAAAAAACCTTCAAAAACTCTTTCAAGTTTCTTTGCCACTTTTTCTCAGTGCACTGACTCGACTTTACACAAGTCGTGTGAATGAACTTGGCTGCTCCCGGTATACTGTGCCAGCTACCTCTCCCACCTACTCCCACCCCACCACTACCCCAACTCCTGCCCTTCCCTTCTCCGTAAGGCTTGGCTTTGACCGGCGCCATTTATCATGCGAATCCCAGGAGAGTGCTCAAAGCAATGAAATTAAAAGCTGAATTGTTATTTTTGCCCGCTTGCCTTTTTGCTCTGTTTTTTTTTCCCTGTGTGTTGGCCAAGTCGAAGGAGGGAGAAGGTCCTGGAAGGAAAAACCTGAAACTGGAGCTGGCCCGCACTGCAATGATTGGCATTTATGGCGCCCCAGTCCAGGAGCGGTTGCATTTCATGGGGTTGATAGAAGGAAGATAGAAGGAGAGTGGTGAGTTATGGCAAATGCTAACCACCGCCCTGCCGCCCTCGTCACCGCTTAATTGGCTTTTAATTTTGTGTGTGGGCCGCCGCATTACTTTTCATTACGATTAGACGCTTTTGCGAAGTGAATCCATTAATTAAATTCCACGTTGGAAATGGCAGAGAGAGAG